CCCCTCTTGGGGAGACACACCTACCAGTCCGGCCCCTCTCCCAGTCCGGTCAAACCCCAAGTTCTCGCAGGAGGTAAGAGCCCCCTAGCTGTTTTAATCAGGAAGCCAGGTGAGAAGTGAAGGCCCCTTGGCACCCCCTGGTTTTGTTTTTACAATGTCCACTTGTAAAAGGCCAATTCTCACCTAGTCTCTAAGTAAGCCTTTGAACCTGACCTGGTTGACCCCCTTGACCCTACTTTTCAAGTGAGGAGAGGGAATGATGTATTGTGACTGTAACTTGTGGGGATTTACTGATATCAGGCACCCTATTCTAGATACCTAGTCTTTATATTTATTAATTTCTTAAAAGGCAGAAAGAAGCAGGAGAAAGCATTGGTTTCAAAAAAGAAAAAGTTTATTTAAACTAAAACAATTAAGACAACTATATACAACTATATAGATATTGGAATTTGCCCATTGTGGGACAAATAAAGGTATAACTTATATATGACAACTATATACATAATATTAATTTAACAAACACAACTGACTAACTAAATACATACACACATATACACAATATTTACAAATCCCTCCCCCTGCCAAACACACACACACACAAACAAAGTGTTCGCTCAGGGAGGGGGGAGCTGCCCCATCACACAAACACACACACACACACACACACACACAGTGTTCCGGCTCAGGGAGGGGGCTGCACCATCACGCCCTTCACCTCTGCCAGCCACTGCTCCACAGTTCTCCCTTTCCCGTCGGCCCGGGAGCAGAAGGTCTCCGTCTTGTAGCGGCTGTGGCCAAACGCCCGCGTCTTGGGTTGGCCACAGCGCCTGCAATTGAAGTGGGAGACCTTCTTTGCTGGTTTCATATATCTCCCAGCTCCCGGGCACGACGCTCTTTCTCCTCCCTGGAGCTTGCGCCCAGGCAGTGTTTCTAGGCACTGGTGGAGCAGTGGCAGCTGTGGCTGTGGAGGGGGTGACACCTGCCTCTGCGCTGGCGGACGGGACAGTGTCCACTGGCACTGGTGGATGGGACGGCGTCCGCGCTGGCACTGGTGGACGGGACGGCCCGCGCTGCCACTGGTGGACGGGACAGCGCCGCGCTGGCACTGGTGGAGGCTTGTGGGGTGGCTGAGGAGGAGGAGGAGAGGAGGTGGTGGCAGTTGAGGAGCTGGCGACGATGAGGTCAGAGTAGCTCCGGGGCCAGCGGCCCCCTGATGGTGGCAGCCAGACCGGAAGCGTCCGCAGGCAGGCGGTGCTGGAGGGGCTGGTCCGGCTGATCAGGCTGCTGCCCCACAGTCCGTGGGGCAGGCAGGGGGCTCCGCTGCAGTCTGGGAAGCTGGGCCCCGGGACTGCAATGGCGATGGTGTCCCTCATCATCGCCTTGCTCCTCTTGGTGTCCTTAAAAAACAGAATGTAACAAATGCACATTAGTAATCATGACCTCACACACACACACACACACTCACACACACACTCACTCATACACTCACACTGCCACTTCAGATCAGATGTGAGAGAAAGGATCAGGTCTTACCATTGCGTCAGGGTCCGCTGATTGACCTCATACAGCTGGATGCGGGTGCTCGCTCATGAGGGCTGCACAACTATAAACATTCTCTCGAATTGTTTGATAGTCCCTCATGACGGCACTCCAGCGATGAAGGCGGACCCAGCAATCGTCCTCTCCTCGCCGCAGTGGAGGATGCTGAGGTCCAGCAGGACAGCCTCCACAAGCCTTGACACATCGGGAGACTGCGCCGCTCCCGCCCCCTTGCCCAGGACCGCACTACATTGACACACACAGAGAGAGAGAGAGAGAGAGAGAGTGAGTTAGTTTGTGACTGACAGCACAGAACAAGAACTAAACAAAGCTTGGAAATTTATTGTGACTGCTTACCGCTTCACACTATCCACCCCTGGCGTGTGAGCGTGCCGCTGGCTGGTCCTGAATCGGCCCTGACGAGCCGGTCCTGGTGTACGGGGGAATTTGACCGCCGCCTTGTCCCAGTCACTCAACTTCAGCCAGAGAGCGGTAACCTCTCGGCTTGCCTGGGAGTGACGTAGCGGCGGTGGCGCAGTTCCACCAGGGCCTGGGCCAGGGCCACAACGGGCTGGTAGCCGCTGCGACCGTCTGGCCCGATAACCTCCTCCTCCTCCTCAGCCTGCTGCACCTCCATTTGGTCCAAGCGGGGCGGGTGAGGTTTGAGGACTGAAGGAGAGCACTGTGGTGTTCGAGAGACAAATCTCCTCTGGCTCCTCTTCCTCCTCCTCCTCCTCCTCCTCCCCGAACCCTTCATCACTGCCCCCCCCCGCTTCCTCCCTCATCAGTCCCTGGAGTGTCAGGATCACCGAGGTCCTGCTGCAGCACAGCACCCGTCTGGGAGAACAGGTACTCCACCCCAATGAGTTCCCCTGTGGGCACACACACACACACACAAACACAGATGTTAAATGACAGACACCTAAGACAGGTGTTAAACGTTACCGTTACCTCAGACAGATTTATGACTTACCTGTGTACTCCTGGGCATGGTGTACATGTCGAGCAGCGTGCGCCCAAGAAGCTCTTGGGTCAGCTGGTCAAGCTGTGCTGCAGCTGGGCACTGTAGCAACGCAGCGGCGACCTCTGTCCTCCTCGACTGCCGCCCTGCCTCGATTCTCGTTCCACCGCACCAGGCCCTCCAGCAGGTACACCTGAAGTGTACATCACTTGCAGATTGTCCTAAGCAGAAACAGAGCAACACAGTTAGTGTGAGGACAAATAAACACACAAATACATAATTGAGTCTGTGTTGTAAACCACACATGTACTTACCTGGGATGAAGCGGCACAGGTGCAGGTGGAACGATTCAGGGGAAGTGGAGCCTCGGCCGCACCGGTAGACGGGGGAGCCTCACCCCCCGCCTTTGGTGAGCTCTCCGTCTTGGTGGAGGTCCTCTCCCGCAGGGTCCTGAATGCAGTCGAGGTGTCGGCGCCGTGCTCCAGATCTCCTCCATTCGGGCGGTCGATCAAAGGGACGCCCATGCTGTCCGTCACGTGCCAGAAGGTGTCAGCACCTCTTGGACCAGCCGCTCCGTCTCCACTGCACCCTGGTGCGGCGCCGGCAGTGACGGACGAGCTCCTTGGCGGACAGCTTGACCTCCTGGGCGTCCCTCCCCTCCTCGGACTGCTTGGCTCTCTCAGGCGGGACACGTCTTCGGCGTCCCACTCAAAAATGGCGAAGGAGAGCCTGCCCATGAAGAGGCCGTAGAGCTGGTGGCTGTCGGTGGTCACCCCTCCGCGAAACGCCGCATGAGGTGCCACACGTCGAGCCTGACGACCAGCTCGTGCCACTCGTGGAACAGCTTGGACGTTTGACACTGTCCCACGGTGGCACAGCAGTCCCGGTCCACGTACAGGACCCTTGGAGGGGCCTTCCGGCTTCGCGGTACCGCCGCATCAGTCCGGCCGCCATGTCGACAAGTCCGCCCCCCTCAGCTGCGGTGAGAGGGACTAGGACATGAGCACCTGCCCGTACTAATTGCCGACGTTGGTGACCCAGGCGGCCGTCCCGGCAGCACCGCCCGCCATAAGCTTTTGGTGATCTGTGTGACACAGCAACACAACAACATTCAGACACATGACAAAACAAACATTACACTGGGTACACGGCACGCTGTGGTGGATAACAAAACCTACCTTCTTGGTGGAGTCCATCTTCAAAAGATCACCAAAGATGGAAGTGACTCTGGCTCTCGTCTCGTCGAGCCTCCGTCAAGGCGTCCTGACGTGACGTTGATGAGCCAGAGCACTGTGGGGCACCCAAAGACCTCTTAAGATGTCTGATATGATACATCAGGTCACGCACGGATGTGTTGAAAACAGCTACAGATCTGCCAAAAACTAGATGCCAGCCCAGATGCATCACGAGTCCCAGAATCAACTACCACAAAGTACTTATTGTGATGAATAATTGCACTGACTGAACCTTGGAGGTTCAACAAACACATTCCATCACTCAGCAAAGTTTCCCTGTAGCTGTTCATACATCACACTGTCGTCATCCAAAACACCAAAATCTCCATACACTGGCGAGGCAACGTCTACCTTCCACTTCCTGCCAAACACACTACCCTGTTCAATCAATTTACACAGTTTAATCTCAACACTGTCCTGGCTTCCTTCAGCAACTAAACTGGCCAACTTGCTGCCTTCTGCACAGATATCATCAATATCTTTCCCCTCGCCATGTACAAACCGGAGCAATTGCATGTTTTATCGCAGCTACAACACTACCCGCTATTGATACATTTACATCCTGGAGTTAATGGTGCTGCTCTGAGTTTACCGGAAACTACTGGTGCTATTGGCTCGTTTTCTAAACACCTGCAAGAAATTGGGTTAGCGTCATACTCATCTTTGACAGATCTTGGTGTGCTGACTTCCTCCTCGTAGCTGTGGCAGGTGATGGGTCTGGGAAGGGCATCCACCACGCCTGGTGTCACCGGGCCTAAAGAAAAACAAAAAGAAAAAACCATGTATTTGTTACTTACATGTTACTTTCAACATACACTTGTGAACCTTAAAGTTGTTTGTATTTAACTTTAATATATACTGTATCAACAAGAAAACAGCTTTGCATGCACCATTTTAAAACACATTTGTGAAATGTGTGATATAACATGCACCAACCTCCTCCTCCTGCGCAGCAGCAACCACTTCCACAGCCGTGGCAGGTGAAGGCTCTGGGGATGTGTCCACCACGCATGGTGTCACCTGAGCCTAAAATAATCAAACAAAAATTAAATATTGTGTATTAACAAAATACAACTTTTTTTTTAATTACACACACACACACACACTAAAACTCAAATGAGGTCTTGTCATTTCAACATGTTCAACTTTGTGCATACTGAAATATCTTTGCATTCTCCATTTAAAACACATGTGTAAATGTATGGTGTAGCATGCACCAACCTCTGCAGCAGCAACCACTTTCACAGGACTGGCAGGTGTGGGACGGGACACACCTCCACAACACTGGGTGTTGCCTCAACCTGAAAACAACCAACACAAAATGTAACTACAAAAATGAAATGTAAAGTTGCCATGTATTTTCTAATGATCTAAATAACAGACGAAATACAGCAAACACAAAGAAATATTAAATTATTGCTGCCTGTCTGTCAAACTGTACAAAAACCAGTAAAATATTTAATATAATAAAAAACCTGGTGCTTTGCAGGTCTCCTCTTGCAGGCAACAGCTTTCCGCCTACGTTCCACGACAGGTTTCTAATGTAAAGAAGGAAACCAAATAACCTTTTAAAACTATATTTGGGGAAAAGCTCCTTTGGGCTTAAGCAATTTTTAAAGGGTGTTAATTTCAGAAAGAAGCAGAAACCAACACATACAATCTGAATGCAAATTACCGTTTTGTCATGTGGAACAGCGGTGCACTCAGGGGTAGGAAGATGGAAGGGACAACAGCATCCATGACAGCCAACATGGAAATGCTGAACCCTCACGGGGTTCAGTGGGATGAAGCACTCCTTCAATGCGACAGGAGTGGCAACAAACTAACAAATAAAAATAAAAAACACATAATAAAACAGTATTAGACAATTTCTCTCATCTATAATCAATGGACAAATAACCAATTAACCTATCATAACTATTTATGTAAAAGCATAACAAACCTGCTGTTGAACCTTCATCTTTTTTCGGTGCACCAGAGGACTGTGCAGGTTCCTCAGGTACCGGTACGTTCCTCTGTAATGAAAAACAGCAGATATGTTAAAAAGAAGTACCCACTCACCATAACAGAAATAAACTGCTGGGAGAAAATCAGTCTCAACACCAAAATTACAGTGTGCAAATATTACCTTCCTGCCCCTCTCCACAGACGTCCACTCGTAAGGGTTAGAGGGGCGAGGCACGATACCTCTCCCCTCACAACGACCCTTGGAGTGACGTGACGAACAGGCAATGATGTCCTGGGAGCGGCCTGCGGTTTCGGTACAGGCACCTCCAGTGACTCGTAAGCTGCAGCCCACAGCAAACGAGTGAGGACCACCATGCCTTCGCCATCACTCAAGTGAACCTGACCAAAAGTTAGAGTAATACATTTAGTGATCATAAAATGTACTCCTCAATTTGCATCTGCTATGAACTGAACTACTGCAATGTGTACATCAAACTTTTCCATTTCCTCACAATATACTCTACTTACACCATCTGGGCTCCACAGGTCCAAGTTGTTCAAAGGGAAGTGGCCAGAAGACGAGAAGTACTTGATACCTTAAATAACAACAAGAAGCTGATTAATTATTTACATACTTAAATACATTATCTTCTTTTTAAATTACAAAATAATGACTATTATGGACAAAATAATAATAATTCAAACATTTTTTCAAAATATATTTTGAAACGTACCCATTCTTGCTGCCACTCGATGGAACTCTTGACGCATGAACTCTTGTAGCTGAGGGATCAACAGTCAGACATGGCACAAAGTCCAAGACAAAGACCTGCACAGAACAATTGTTCACTATTAAAGTACTTCTCCTCAAAATATCATAACCTTTAAAATAAATGTACATTATACTGTAATAGCTCATGGAACCAAATTAATCCTAGTACGAAAAGGTGTAATAGTAAATACAATATAATCAATAACCTACATTGGGCCAATGACTGCGTGGGCACTGTACAGGAGCTTCTGGAAGTCAGCTCCTGCCTCAAGGGGGTCCGGCTGGCTGTCAGGTTGTTGCTGGGGGCCATGATGCAGACTGCGTCCGGGGGGTCCGAGGTACGTCAGCGTTGAGTAACTCGGTCCTCAGGTCGGGACGCAAGGCCCCGGTGGACATGACACCAAAGGAAAGCATTCCCTCTGGCATCGGCACGATCCCGTCTGCAATGGAGCGCAGATGGGACGCTCCTACAATAAGAACAAACTGGGGGAGGGGGCACAGAAGGAATATCATTAGAATGAAAATCACTAATCAATCATCAGAGCAGATATTTTGTTTATAAATTGCGAAATGCATTACCTTCTTATCAGGAGACTCAGCAGGGATGACCAGCTTGTGTTGGCGGGCCGTGACTGAAACTGGCCATTTCCTCACACGATGGCGTGTACCGGTGCCACGGCCTATTATAAAAACACAGAAACAAACACCAAAATAAAACTTAATTAACCACTGCAAAATTAGTTATGACACATGCACACCTTACACATATAGGCAGAATAGTTGAATAAATGAAACGTGTACTTACGAGGAACAAAGTCACGACTGGGCCACTTACGGTAACCTTCTCGCGCTCTGCCTCCCTCCTCCCAGCAGCCTCAGAGCGACGAAAGGACTTGCCACGTGGCATCTAAAAGGATGCAAGAATAAATTATAATGAGTTTTAATCACACTCACAAGACACTTTAAGGCAGGGGTGTCAAACTCATTTTGGTTCAGGGGCCACATACAACCCAATTTGACCTTAAGTGAGCTGGACCAGTAAAAGGCATAGTTAATAATAACGCAGGTCTGCAATGGTGAATGAAATGATCCGGATGTAGTAAAACGCACAGACTCAGAGCTTCAGAGGGTTTTAAACCATTTCAATGTCCTACACAAATATATAAATGTTTAAACTTCAGTCAATATGTACATAATGCACATCATTAGATCATTAGTTATAGAGTCTCCACAATTCAATCGCTCACTTCATTTTACGGAAACTATAAACACCAAAGTAACGTTATAACGTTGATTCATTCGGACTTAACACGGTAAACAACAGAGACGGTAAACAACTCTAAAGCGGGGAATAAAGTCTGTACGGTCTGTGTCCGTTCCTCCATTAAGAGTCCATGTATCACTACAAAAGGTTTCATTACATTAATATCATCATGTATAGTCCGTCACTCACGGTCTGTTTACTGTCTGTACGCTGGCCGGATGACGTAAATATGCAGCTGACGTAAAGCGGCGTTCACGTTCACTGTCATGTGCTGCGGCGCATATAAACCAGCAGTAGAGCTAAAATGTACCGTAAGTTACTATTACCATACGAAACTGAAGAGAAACAGTACAGTTAGAGAATATTTCCATATATGCTGAGCAACAGTTTGTGCTAAAGGAAATAAACGCAGGTCCCCAATTCAGTGTTTTAAGCAAATACACGCAGGACAATTATTATAAGTTTTACGGTATTTTATTTACTGTTAGTGCTTTGTTCAGCAATGCATCATATTCATTAACATAATCATACATTATTATCAATAATACAGATTGTAATTGTTAAAATTAAACTCACCGTAGAAGGCAAATCCTCTGCTTCCAAAGTGAATGAATGTGTGTATATGTATAGAGATATATATATTTATATATATATCTCTCTCCAACTCTCTCTCAATAGCTCTCCAACTCTCTCTCAATAGCTCTCAGGGTTTGCGTACACAAAAACAGCTCCGTATCTCTCTCTCTGTTGTTGTGGTAGCAAGAACGACAGTTAGCTACGGGGAACCTATATGGCTACTGGCGACATTCGAAAAATTTGGTTCAACCAATCAGAGCGCGGTACAGGAAGGTGGGGTGGATCATTACGATGAACCGTGTTGTACAATAATGTGAAACTGGACATTAATTATCTGATAAAATTGTTTAGTACTATTACAATGTTTTATAATTTTCAGAAATAAATATATATGTGTCTGGTAATTTATTTTAGCTAAAATAAAAGATATAGCCTAAACCCTCAACCCAGCATGAAATGGTTCAGTCCTACCAATGTGCAAACCGTAATTTCTCATAAAAAAACAAAAAAACAACCGGAAATAGAATGTCAAAATAAATGTCGTATTGAATGCTTTCATTATAAATTATGTAATGGATTTTTAAGTAATTTCGTACCATAAACACAAAAAGCACTAAACAGTAATATGGTTTAAGTACATTAAATATCATTATTGATAAAATTGCAACCTCCCCATTCACTTACTGATTTGTTTACATTAAATAAACACTATCAAATTAATGACGGCTACAGACACTAATAAATTAAATAATTTTAGCATATTCATATACATTTTCCACTACAAAGTTATATGTGTTGTCAACAACACAAGATTGTATGAAAAACTCTCAATTTTCGTGTGTGGTAACCTATCAACACATGGCTAATTTTAATATTCAAATGAGCCATGTGTTCACAACAGGTCTCTCACAGTTGCTAGGTTACCACCAGGCTGTCAATCAAGCTCTCAGCTACAGAGAACTTAACCTTACCCTTTATCTATCCAGATAAAAACATTAAGAACAGTTTCTGTATGATGTTTATTAGACCTATGTCATCTGAATTGGAAGGGCACGTTGTCATGAGCTGTATCTTGTATATTTATTATTAGCTATGTGGTATGTGTATGCACCTTTATGTAATCTGGTGGAAAAACATTAAAATATAAAACCGGATACCAAAAAAATATGTTTGCGTGTACCCGTGTATGCAAAGTGTCCTCCTGTTTGATGTGGAGGAAATGGCCACCCTAATCTGGAGTTGTAACAAAAGTAATTATTTGTTTGTAAGTATTTATGATTCTGAAATTGATGACTTAAATATAGATGTTCATTTATACTTCTTCATCCATTCAAACACAGAAATACAGTATTACTGTCCAGCTGTATCTTTACTGCCAACTAAAGCTTGTTTACTAATACTTCAACATATCAGGACATATGATGTGTTTTCTGTGGTACAACATTTCTGGAAATATGAGGCGAACTTGGAGACATTAGACATTAATCTCCTATTTTATAAAAGTGTTAAATGCTTAATAACCACAGAAACTATTTCAATTTTTAAATAAATGTATTTATTATTTTTGTTTAATTTGTTGGAGTTTCCTCCTGCTCCTCCTCCTCCTCCTCCTGCTGGCCTGGCTCACCACTGGCCTGCTGCCCCTGCTCCTGCTGGCCTGGCTCACCACTGGCCTGCTGCTCCTGCTCCTGCTGGCCTGGCTCACCACTGGCCTGCTGCTCTGCGACTGCACACATGGACACAGATAAAAATAAATCTTAATTTTATCAGTCTTGCGTCCAATCAATAAAAACACAAATATATTAATTCACTCAAAAAGCAGACTTGTGGTCAGTTGAATGTTAATCTATTATCTATTATCACACAAACACACATTATCTGTAGCATGCAAAACACAAAACACCAACACTTACCGAGAGGAAAGGCCGCGGCCAATTCGAGGTCCTCCTCCAGCTGCTGGGTGGCCTTGTGCAGCTGGGGTTAGGGGTTAGGAATAGGGATGAGTGCAACATTAGACATTGGTCTAATCAGCATGTTTCTCCTCACAGGAAGGTTGTAGAGAGTTCAAAGCAGGTTCAATCTGTTCATTTTTTCCTTCCGCTTCTTTGGGTGTCGGTCTCGACTTCTGGCGCTAACCGGAAGTGGGCGTAATTCCGGAAATA